TTGGGTTTTTTGTTTGTCCAGAATCCCCGCAATGTCTAGGCAGCATCCACATTACAGGAAAAACTGGAACCGCTTCATTTCCACAACAAAAATGGTTATAATTGATTCGGAATCGTTCTCTAAAACTATTATTACGCATTGGAATGATGCATCATACCAGCAACGCAATACCTGAAACACCGTACCTAAAATAAAAGTAAAATCGTAAGTAATCAAGTAGCAATGCGCTAATTATGGACACATACTTCCCTTTTGGGCTACTTGAAACCTGAAAATGAAAAGATTTCACATTAATAATAACTCTTGCAATTATCAAAAATTGGATTTACACTTATCTTTTCGTTATGAAGGCATCGCCTATCTTAAACTTTAAATAATAAAAAAAGGTCCTTGTAAAATGAATAGTTCGTATCAAACATTAAACTTGGAGATGAATTTTTCACAATAAAATATTTTTAACAAAGGAGATTCATTCTTGCTTCATATTTATTTCTAAAGCATTGTTTGAATTCAAGTGTTTTTCTAGTTACGCGGTTTTTTAAATAAAATTACTTAAATGTCACATTTACATAAATAAATTAAAATGAATATAATATAAAATATTAAAATATAATTTTATTTCTCGAAACATGTATACGAATGCACATACTTATAAGCTATAAAAAAGAATAAAAAATTTATGATTTTTTTTTAAGCATGTGTAAAACTGTACAGTGCACCCCCTATAACACAGGTTATATAAAACGGATTTGTGTAACACGGCGAAAAAATTGCGATCGTATTCGTATAAACACGCTAAAAAAGACTCGTATAATACGGTAAAACGTCATCGCCGACTCGTGTCGCGACAGGATTGGTCGAATCTAGACTAATAGCGGATATTGCACAAACCGTTGAGTTTAAACGAGCAGCAGATCTACTAAAAACCATTTATTATTTAACGTCCATAGAAATTATATTTATATTAATGATGTCTCCGAAGTTCAGCGAATTTTTTTGCAAAAATAAATAATTTATTAGAAAACACGCGCCCGCCGTTCGATGAGCCGCTCCACGACGAAAACAAGCTTAAGCAATGACGTCGTCGAACGGTGCACACTCGGTAAGTAATCCTACAATTTTTTTGTTTATATCATAGTTTATATGGATTATTCCCCAAAAATTATACATATTTTGGAAATGTTGAGTCAATTAGTCTAGAATCAATTAATATTATGGAAAAAAACCTTTCAAACAGCCGTAGTCCGTAAACTTGACACGTGCCAGTCTGTGATTGGCGCATGTATCTAAAAGACTCGTAAAACACGGAATTCACATAAAACGGAACGTATCTACCGTGTTATAGGGAGTCTACTGTATATTGTTCATGAGCGATCACGCGATAAACCAATAATTTTTCCAAATATGTAAATTTAGCTTTAATTTTTTTCCAAATACTTAAATTTGCTGTCTTGTTTAGACCCGTCAATGAAAATGAACATATCGTAGGGGATATTCAGTGGTGTGAGAAAGTCATATATAGTAGGGTCATACTGCAACTTGTAGTTACCACTCTTCTTCCTTTAGATGCTATATTCGTCAATGTAAGTATATTACTGTTCAAGAAATTTGGTAGGGTCTTTGTCTTGTGTATGGAGGTCTGTCTGTCTATCGAGTTTGTCTTGTGGACGAGGTTCCGGAGCCATGGCCGCCTTATCCGTCAGATGAATGGGTATGAGGCCTGCGATGACAAGTAGAGTCGTATCAGGGGCCGTGCAATAAGCCCGATAAATCCTATGAGCAGCCAGTCATTCGACTTTCAGAATCTCACTGCAGATATATTGATTAATTAATTCACATATGTAGAAGTGCTGTGAAATCCTTTTATTCCGCAGCCTGGACGAAATCACGACACATTGCATGGCAGGTGGCAGGGTTCTTCCCTGCAATTTATACAATAAGTGGACACAGTATGCACGTTTCATAAATTTGTAATACAGGATCTTCCCACACTCCCGGTTATGGCACCCGAGTGTTCTCATTGGTGATTCAAAAATCTTACAGTAGCATTCTGTGGTATTGCAGTTTCTTGCAGTTTCTTCACGTTGTACAGTTCAAACGCAATGTACTTTATTTCAATTAAAGTGGCTGATATTATTTTTTAAACAATTAAAAATTCAAATAAACTAAGTAATCTTCCTTTCCGTCATATCTAATACTAATAATACCGATATTTGTTTAGTACTGGACCCGAGATATGTTCATAAATTTTGTTATAAATTTTCCAGGCAATTATTTTTTGTGTACCAGATTGCATCTTTGTAGTGTCCAGTTCGAATAATAAAGAAACTGTGAGGATATTGAGGGTTGTCAAAAATTGCATTACAGGAGTTTAGGGTAGGAAAGACCCTGGCACCAGGTGTGTTATCACACACACCTCGGATTTAGACAAGAAAAAAACAAAAAGGCAGATATTTAAGGCGCGAGAGTAAAAGTCACTCCGAAGTCTAGGAATGAGCCTCTCAGGAGGATGAATGCAAAATCAAGTAAACTAACTTACGAATAAATGGAGAAAATTTATTATCTTAACATTTGAACTTAGTTGAAATTAATAGTAAGTACAAAATCTGTTTTAAGAAGTTAGCTTATTTCTATTTGTAAAACGCAGATACCTTGCAGTGGTATCAGAATCTTGCGACTCACAACATGCCAGGAAAAAAGTTGTCTTTTCTTCTAGGAGTTACCTTCCTTATCTTTTCCTTCTCTTCTTTCTGCTTTCTTTTTTTTCTCTCCTTTTCTTTCACTTTTTCTTTCTTTTTTGTTCTCCTTCATTTTCTCTCCTAAAATTCCATAAGTTTTAAAAATTCGTAGAAAAAAAAATTTTTTATTTTTTTCTTCCATTTTCTCTCCTTCACTTTCACCTTTTTGTCTTCTTTTTCCTTTCGCTCAGTTTCTCACTAAATCTCTGATTTTCGTCATTCCCTTTTATTCTATTCTTCGTTTTATGATTTTGTTCGGGAGGAAGTTGAGGTAATTTCCGATAAGCATGATCGGTCATCATTTAGTACTTCTATCTTGTGTATTAAGAATTATATACGTACACGTAACATGAATAGAGTACCATCTGTCATCTAACACTATTGAAAACGGAGGAAACGACGGTCATAACCCTTCATCTTTTCCATCGCATGTTTGTGAGATTTATAACAATTAATGAATAACTTCTTTTATCTTAATTCGTTTCTGGAACATATTTTTAATCCGTATTGCTAAAAATTTAGAAGGGGAGTCCCTAAAGTCGGAAAAATAGGCAAAATTCCTTTACAACGTTGCCTGATAAACATAAACAATCCCGGTGTCGCATTCACACAAACATCGAGATGTGGGTGTGTTATTGCGACACCGGGCAAAGGGCGTCCTGTCTGGCAGTTAAAATTTGTTCGTTTCACAACCAAAGAAAACAAAAAAGGGATATAAAATACATATATATCTTAAAATACAATAAACTGGTTAAGATTAAAATTATAATGTTAATAATAGAATACATATAAACAGGTCTATAATAATAACCAAAATTTTGCGGAAATGATGGGGCCTCACAAAACATAATAAAAACTTCTAATATTTGTATGTTTGTTATGATTTATTTGTATTTGAATTTGAACACTTGAAAAAGGCTAATGACAACAGTGTCGTAAATAAATTAAAACTAAATTAAAATAAAATTAATAACATTAATTGTTTATTTTAATATTTTCATACATCAATATCAAGCAAGAAATATCATAATATCTTATTATTTCTAAAGTCAAATTTTACATTCAAGTTTTCGAGCGAAATTTGGTTCCAAAATACACTCCTTACAATTAAAACACAAGTTGAGTGCTTAAACTAGGAAGTATATGAAGCTAAAGAAAACAATATACCGTTCGCGTTGTGAATACAAAATTTGTCACATAAATACGTGAAATTTTATACAAAATTCTCCTAATTAATTAGATATATAGTTGTACTATTGTATAAAAATAGTCATTCTAATAAATTCAAAAAGATACTCGAATTTTAAAATCAGACTTCTACTGTCTTCAGTAGTATAATCACAACTAACTCCTACATAGAGAAATACAATATATACAAGAAATTTCTACAATAATATTTTCTGGCTGAAAGGCCCATTATCATAAAATCAAACATATTAAAAACATTGTTTAGAACACAAAACATAATGTATCATTCGATCTAACAAATTTGGAACGTAACAATCGAACATTATTATTTTCAAATATTAGATTTCAATTCAAATACTTCATTAATGACATTCGAAAATTTTCTTATTTTATAAATAAATCAAATAAAGTAAATTAAAACAAGTTAAAATATGGTATTAACAAATTACAAGAAATTACTATACAATGTGTTTTCTCAAATGTCTTAAAAACATTTGAACTTTGCCTTCTAAAGTGGATTCACCATATTGACCATTTACGAAAGAAAGTCTTTAGATTCCTCAAACCATATACTGAAGTCTTCACTGACGAATTGGCTGTCATATCGATTACAATACGAACAGAATCATTTAAAATAAATTTCGATAGTGTTCGGAATTACAGCTGAATACACCGAATTCGTAGGTATATCTACAGTAAAATTTATATAATTTCAAACAGTACAGTAGACCTCCCCTATAACACGGTAGATTGTAAAATCTAAGTGACTCTTACAACACGGAATTATCTACCGTGTTACAGAGGGTCTACTGTATCAATATTCCGATTGTTTCTAAATATTGCTTTCGTTCACAAAGTGAAATGATGTGCATTTTGTGGGCTTACTCGTCTTTCCCAATTGCATAAATGCATTGAGAATAGAATAGAAACTACTCAACATCTAAAAGTGAAAATAACAAACTGTATTATAAATAAACAATTACAAAATATCTTAATGTAAACAAACCATACTTTAATCGGAAAATTACGTTTGACTCGAAAAAATCCACCCACAGATATTCCAATCGGAATTTTCCCGAATCTCTTCATGAAATCCAGCATCTAATTAAGAAACAATTTATAAAATATTAAACCATCATAAAGTCCAGATGTACAAAATTTATCTTACCTTTAATTTGAATACAAGAGAAAATCTCGATGCAAAAAATCTGTCGATTTTGTTGAAATTTCCATAAAGCTGAATTAAATAGTAATTAATTTTCAAAGCGTAAATAATAGTCTATAATACAGATATTAAAGAAGCCTTACCGAAGATGTCAATCTGGACAAACCAAAGGCAATTATTATTTATTGATATATGAGGTACAGGATGGTGATCAATGCACCTATCTCGAATTCTTCGGGTAAATTGTAAAAAGCAACTAGTGTTATAAGGATACTAAATGCATACAAACTATAGCAATACGTTATAGCAAACAGCATTTCGAATTTATCGTTAAGAAGCTGAATGTCTTCCATTAATTCCGTATATTCTACAATAATATTTTGAATGGAATATTCAAGATTACTTTTTTCCTGAGTAATTTTATCGAGTCTAGTTGACAATGCGGTAAATCCACGATAAAGAATATAAAAACAAATAAAAAGAAAAAACGATATATAAGTAGTCTGTCCAATTAGAAGAATAAATAATACTGCCAAGTCTATATTACAGAGCAAATATTCAATTTCGGTTGCTTTTTTCATGGTTAGATATAAAAATAAATCTAAGAGAAGCAGAGGTATTATTTGCAGCAAAACTATAACTACCAACAACATACAATAGCGGAATTCTATTAAGGTGGTTGAATCTTTATCTGTTTCATACGAATATTTATTACTTGGAAACTCTAAACTGACTCGCTTGAGAAAAGTAAACTGCAGAGTCCAAATTGTTATCATTCCAATGATAAATACTTGAATAATAAACTTGAAATCGAGGAAAACATTAAAGAAATCTCCACACATAAATTTTTCAGAAAATATCGTCGTGAGGAAAGCAAAATTATTTAGGAGAAGAAAAACTTCGATAAAATTTGAATATAATTCGAAATGTTTAATTTGAGATTTCTTAGAGTATCGATTTCTAAGCATGTTTAATCCCACAGTTTGTGCTGATGCATTTAAGGAAAGAAAAAGAATTTCACTTTCAATTTGTTTTACTTCCATTTTGATTCCTATATACTACTATTATAAATACGTATAATTTTTATTCATAAATATGTTAATAAAACTTTTAATTTAGTGGTGTTCAACGGGAGAGCAAACTACGGTGCAACCCGAGTAGCGATATAAGTAGTTTTTACGTGTATTAATAATAGTACGAACAATACAATAACTGTATATTGATAAAGAAGTTAGTGTTCCTTAAAAAAA